TCAAATCGGATAAAAAGAATGATTGATTTAAGCGAAATGAGGTCGACAAAAATTTATTACACTTTATATCATGAAAATATTTATTTTTATAAATGTGACAATAGAAGATAATAAGTATTTGCAAATACACTTGGCAATGGACATATCATAAAACGTGTAAGAACATATAAATCGTAACGTCATTTAATTTTTATAAAAATGTGCATTAATTTGTGAAGATTAAAATCCTGTTGGGCATGCATTTGCACCCTGTATCGCATGTGATATATTATGGCAACCTTTTTCGACATCGCTGTCATAAAAAATATAATTATTATTCATTACGATTAATGATTTTGTTTCTGAGCGGTTTGCGCGCTGCTATCTACGGCCATCCTGCTTCGCTTGCTGACCAAACATGTGTTCGCATGAATAATGGACATCTTTCGACGTACTCTTTATGCTGTAAAACATCTAACATCGTAAATGCGCTTTATTATATAATTTAACGTATTACTTAATTCAATTAATTTTTTTTTTTCTATAATCCACACACGTGTCACTTCATTCCTTTGCATTAATTGAATTCAATTAATTTGGTCGATAAAAAGTTGAGGAAATATTGAAAAAAAAAACATCTTCGATCTCTTTTATATTGTGGATTGTCGAAAATTATATATCTATTTTTATTTTTACGAAAATTAATCATAAAAGTTAATAAATATAAAAAATACAAAAAATAAAATAATGCAAACGAAATTATTCTATTTCATTTTCGCCGATCGCGTTTTTCCGGAAGGAGGATCCACATCCCTTCGATTGGTAAGCGCTTAGTTTATCTTAAAATATAAGCGGAAAAATCATTTGAGAAAGTCTCTTCATCATGTGAGAGGCGCGAGCCGCGTCCAATGCGACGATTCCTCTTCGCTCGCTCTTCCTCCGGACAAATATGTAATGCGATATGCGCGCGCGCGTGTATACATGCACACGCCATCCGGAACAGTGAGTGTGTGTCCGCGAGTACAAAGGGGGCACGCCAATATAGTTTTAAAACGGAATCGAGCGAGCGAGTTGCAACGGCGGGGCGCGCGGGAAGGCCAGAGAGGTAAAGCAAAAGCAAGTCCGAGCGAGTAACAGTGGGCGACCCTGCTGCCGGCTGCCGACAGCATTCCTACAACACAACGCGCCCCGCGCGACCCACACATCGGGCACAATACACAGCACGGTACACATACCCACGCGCGCGCGCACACAGATGTGAACGTGCTATACGTACAGTGTCGGATTGCGAGGCATCGCCGCCCTTGGGAGCCCACGATAACCACCGCGAGGACAGACAGACGAATAGACGGACGGTTTCGAGCGAATCGATTATGCGCATTGAATTCGGCCGAATTTAAATCATAAAGTGATCCGGAAAAAATTATATTATCATAAGAGGAAGTAGAGAAACTATCCGCTCTCGCAATACGCAGCGTTGCCTCGAGTCTTACGACGATACACTCGCGATACAAAGTAGTTCCGGCAAAAATTGCGTCATGCTTTTTTTCTCAATGTTTTTTTTCTTTCCGTGAAACGCACGTCGGTTTCGCCTCTCTACGAATCTTAGAAATTTGATAGAAACGAAGTAGACATCTAGGTTCTCTATCGAATTGATACGCGCGTGGCGCAGACGCGGAGCGAGCGAGCCCGACGCTTTCCATGGCGTTGCCTGTGCCAGGAAATTAGGCGAATCTCTCTCTCTCTCTCTCTCTCTCTCTCTCTCAGCCGTTGTACGTCTTGAGTGAATTACACGATGTCTCTTCACGATACAATATTTTTCGTTCACCGGTACTTACATGGCAGTATATTTTTATAATATAACGATTAATTAAAAGATTTTCTTCTACTTAGAACGATAAATAAAAGGGTTTCAAGAGATTTTTCTTAATCAAGCAATTTTTTCATGGTAATGTAAAATAAATATAAATAAAATATACAATCAGCACACAGTACGTAATGCATACAGAAATAAATGTTACTCAGTTTACAGGACAGAGTTAAAAATTTTGATTCCGAAAGGAGGAGGATCTGAGAAAGAAATAATCGATTTTCAAGTTCTGTGTGGTTTCGCAATATTTCCAAGTTAGATATCTCGTCGTTCAGTTCTTAAATTGTTTCGACTCGGGTTCAGCGAGCGTTTACGACGGTCCTGCCGGAGTAGCGACGTAACACGACGCGTTGCGTCGCTCGGCCACTGTCGTGGGACGCCGTTGCAGCTTCGTGCATCCTCGTGATCGCTCGACTCGGCTATGCACTGTCCTCCCGTCGACTATCAACGAACGAGTGGCGCACACGCGCGCACACACACACACACACACACACACACACACGCGCGCGCGCGCAAACATTTACATACACATGCGCGAATCCCTCTCTTTTCTCTCATCCCTCTCCGCCTTCCCCGCTCATTATTATATCTTTTTATACCTGCATCTTCGTTTAGTTTATTTTACTCGCTTTTATATAAGCGCTGCAACACACAAATGCTATCTGTATCTACCTTCCCTTCCCGCGTCACGTAAATGTTCAAACTGTGGCAAACTTGTGGCAAATTGGCGCGCGCTCTTAGCGGATTATCAGTCAATGCGTCTCTCGATATCCGCGTGAATATTTCATATTATATATACATATATATGTATATAAATGTATATCTTGCTCTTTCGCGAAATTTTCCATAACGTCCATTGTTGTTATCACAAATTTTACTGATCAAAATGTTTACATTTAATATCTTTACCTTTTCCAAGTATATGGTAGTCATAAATTAGTGCTCTAATGGTTTTCATATTTTGCGCTAGTCTATAATTTATTTTCTACTTACTTATTATCTTACCACCAGCACAGTTATGTCTTATGTCTTAATCAAATGATGAACAACAAACGCTACATTCTAGTTTTCTATTATTCATTAATTGATCGCTCGTCATATTTCTTTCCGATTAATTAATTAATTAATTATATTACGACACTAGCGCGCAATTGAGGAAGTTACGTGATCTTTAAACGTACATGTACGTGGAAATTTATTTACTGTATCCCTTTAAAAACGCGAGCGCGAGAGAGGATGTGGCAATACTACAAATAATAGAACGACGCGCTTTTGAACGACGCGGAAGACCGATGATCGACCGGGGGTTAAAGCAGATCGCGGTTGCCAAGGCAACTCCCGTTCTCGATGGACCACTTCCGGTTTTCGACGCCCCTCGTCGAATCTGGCCCGTACCACACGAGGCGTCCGTGTCCGCGTCCGCGTCCGCCTCTCACCATTTCCCGCTTTGCTGATCGAATCGGATCGGATCGGCGCGCGCGCGTGCGCGCGCGCGCATACGCTCGGTAGCGCAGCCTCGAATGCTCTCTAGTCCGCGACCGATTGGAAGGACGATGAGCCGCCGGCCGGTGCGCGCGTGAAAGGACATCCGGGAAAATGGAACGGGGAGAAATCCGATGAGCGACGAGAGTCTAGCAGCGTGGCCCGTACTAGTACGTCGAGATCGATGGCACCCTAGATACCGCGCGAATCGGTTTCTCGCTACCATGGCGGTAGCGAGGAGGCGCGGCGCGCTAACAAATCCAGCCGTACGAAGGCGTTTTGAATGCCGCGAAATCGCACGGACACGGACACCAAGCAGGCGCCGTGGCACGAATCCAGCGTGGGAATCGCGTTTGGGCATGAAATCGTATCCTCTCTCATGGGCGCAGCGCTGCACTGCGCTCGCTAGTCGCTCCTCCCCGCTCGCGGCGACAGCTCGCTCGCGCCAGGCCAGTTGACGGTAATAACGAGGAAAAATGTGCACTAATGACATAACGCGACGCGGTGCGTTTGTTGCGGCTGGGCGGGCTGTGCCATGCGGCGGCATTCGTTGCGCGTACTTTGATCGCTCGACGCTCAGTTTTTGTATCTCATTTACGTTCCGAGATGTGAAATATCTTATATTTTTCTTATAATACAATTTATAGGATAGAATTAAATATATTAATTTAACGAATAAATTTATTGAATGAGAGAAAACAATGTAATTATATGCTGACAATTAGAGATACTTTTTGCCGATTATTTCCACACACTTTCCTAGTTACATTTCGTCCACGAATATATTGCGATCGATCTCTTTTTTTAGATGTTGTAATCGCTAAAAGATAGAATGGATGTGCCAAACGTATGGAGGGATGAAAGTTACAGTGGTGCAAAGTCACTTAATTATAAATTCGAAAAACAAGGTTTTTTTCAACAGACGACAAAAGTTTTCTTCAGCAAACTCTGCATTAATAATCTATAGACCTCAAGTCGAGAGATTTAAATAAATGCCTTATATATTTTTTATCCTTTCATATATCGATCAGGTCTAATTAATTTAAAAATTGTCGAATCGACATCAATTTATATTATTTATTATTAAGATAATTTGCTAATCTTTTCGATTTCATCTTTCATCTATGTATTATTTAATTATGAAAAAAACTCAGCTGGATCTAGACGACTTGATCTTGTCGCAATTTGGTCGCTCCAAATTCTTTCCTGTTTTATCTCAATAAAACAATATTTTGATGAGATAGAGAGACGAGGGAGACGAAAGAGAGAGATTCTCAACAGCGAATGGCGCATTCGGCCGACAGAAACGTCCCGTATAATCCTGAGGTTATTAATAAACCGTATTCATCGATCAATCAATTTTTTAAATACCGTAATGGCATCGCGCCACTGCGACCGCACCATTATCTCCCCCGACTCTCTTCGGTTTCGATACGTAGAAACAGATTATTTTCCATTCGCGTATCGTAGATAGGAGGTCTCGTTTCTCGCGGAGTGCAATCTGTTTGCGCAGCGCGTGGACGAGCGCGCGGCATAACAAAATAAACGCGCATGTACACGCGCGCGGACAGAGAGCGGGCAGAGCGCGAGAGTGAAGAGGGGGGAGAATGACAGAAAGAAGGAGAGACAGGGAGAGGGGGGGAAAGAAAAAGAGAGATCGCGAGGTTACCTGTTCGCACGCCAACGATAATGCAGTCGAGCACTCCGGGCCTCCGTGTCAACGATCGGCGAACGGCCACGAATCTCGATGTGTGCACGTCCGTCTAAATGTTCCTACCTGAGAACCTTACGCCACCCAGCTGCCTCTCTCTCTCTCTCTCTCTCTCTCTCTCTCTCTCTCTCTCTCTCTCT